TGCAGCATAAGTAATGTTACAAATTACAATATACAGGCATAGAGAATGAGTGGAGTAAGAAACAACATTACAAAAGTACGAATACAATATTTTAATAGTCCCTTTCAAAGAAAGTTAAAAAGTGTGTTCTCATAACAACAGAATATAGGTAATTCGCATAGAGAAGGAACAAAAAACCTTTCATTTTGCTTTCAATAAGTCCAATAAACCCACCAGACACAAATTCAGAACAGCAAGAAAAATGCTGACACTTCGCTTCAACTGAACCAAATCATTATAAGTGCTGTTCATTTCAAATAGACTTAAATCTGTTTTTTCAGTGCAACACATTGTAAAGACAAAATATGTCCAAATGTAATTCTCAATGAAGTGATGATGATGCTTGGTCCTAGGACTTAACAGAAAATCCTTGTTTTGTCAGAACACATTCTAAAACACATTTCTCAATAATTATGTAAATGTTTTATATATATTTATAATCCTATCGCAATTGCATTATAGTGGTGAAAATAATGGCATTAGCTAATTTCCTAAAAAAGCTGCAGCCTAGACAGAAACATTATGGTTTAGTTGAATGCTTGATTCTGATTGGTTAATTCAGAACACGTGACACGTTGTTAATCCAGACCAAGCGGCAAACTCTGGGGAACAGTCGGGACGCCAATACGGAAGTGCCACACACTGCAGTTCATACATGGGCCGCTAGGGACTGACTGCAGAAAGGAGCAATTTCCATAGACCCCCATGTTAAAATGCCCAACTACAGCATAAAAAAACATGTTTCTACCCATGGATGCAATAAATATTATTATCGATATAGTTAGATTCCACCTTCATGATTATGAATCTGTGAGTGAATTGTTTTCTAACACAACCCTTTTATTTATATTAGGTCTTAAAGTTTTTCCATAAATTAGGGCGTGGTCACTTTGATGGACATGTACATGCCTCACTGTCAGCTAACAGCAACTTGTCCACTCTGCTAGGCTACAACCATAGAGGCTACAACGTTAGTTAGTCATAGTACTGTACTTGACCCTTTAGCCGTGTTCATGGTGATTGTGCCTTTTAGGGAATATTGTTACCAATACCAGACAATTAAAATGTCGTGCTGTGCGCTTGAATGTACTAACGGAACTTCCAAGAAGTCTAAAATGATAATATTATACATGTTAACCCCGTTCGCAGGTGTTTGTGTGCTTGGTAGCCTAGCTTGTTACTTATTAGCCAGCTAAGGACGTAACCCTTTATACATACATATACATTTTAATTTATGATTCAGCCTTGGGTAAGACTTTTATAGTCTATGGCTATGACGCCCATAATGCTAAACGGGAGCAAATGTTAATAAGGGACCCAATTATCCCAGTGGTGGCCGCCGGAGCTAACGGAGCCGCAGGGGGCTAGCTCCAGCCGGCGTCCCTGAGCTAGCCCACTGCGGCTCCGTTAGGTCCGGGCGGTGGAGTCCGTCTTTTCTTAACGTGTGAATGACAAGCATTAAGAATAAAAAAATATAGCTAATTCTCTTGCAGATTGTCTCATTTGATTATGAATGTAACGTTTATATAGGGGAACTACACTGTTAGCAGTAACTTGGTATGCATCTATTAAGGTTATGGGTTAACTTGTAAATCCTCTGACTCTTAGTCCATTCGACAGGAAGGGCAGAGCACAACTAGGCGTATGCTATCCCATTTGTCCGACTCGGAAACGGTGAAGAGAGACTGTGTATAGTGTTCGTTGTATATGGCCATTTGGCCTGTGGCCAGAACGGTGACTTGCGTTATATTTGAGACAGGTTGTGTAGTATTATAATGTAGGACATAAGATGCCGATGAAGAAGAAACTCAGTATTCGGTTATCAAGTCCGATTAGCTCGGTGCCCCCAGTCCCGAACGGAGCAGCGGAGGTCGTTCTCCGCGAGCGCCCCTGCGCATCGTCCTCACACTGCCTGCATAAATCAACTCGGGATATTGCAAAACACAAAAATAAATACACAGCGTGCTCATAGTGGAGTAGGTTGGAGTTTCGATGCTTATGTTGAAATGGTGGTACGTAAGGGTGGGGATATTATCAGGATGTCTTATGAAAATAAATAATAGGAAGGACGATGAAAGACAGATTCGAGTGTCCCCCTCGGTCGCGTCTTTGTGGTTGGGTTCGGAAATTTCCTCGGGCGGACGCCCTGGGCACGGTGCCGGGTGCGCTCCAAGCTGTTGCTGGGACTGTGTGATATCGCGTATCGGCTTATGTCATGCGTCGGTTAACGCGGAATACACTGTCGTTCTTATCTGGTAGATTCAGATGGGTATCTGTACGGGAGTGATATGATTTACTGCAGTTCACGGCGACTGCGGTGTGGGATCAGAGCGTCTCGAATCAGTGCTCTTCGGTGGGGAATCCATCGCCCAGCCGGTGATTTTGCCGAGCTGTCGCTGCAGTCTCAAGGTAGGGCGTAGGAGCAAGGTCCTTAATCGTTCTTCCGCGAACGGCTCCGCCTGGACGCGGACGGCTTAGACCTCGATTTGTCTCCAATTCGTAGTCGATTCTTCTCGGTGCGGAGTTTACTTTATTTTTGTACTATGGTTCAATGACGATTGTCACATCAAGGGGATTAATTTGCAATGAAGATAGTTACCGTTAGACGGTTCCTGCTGTAATTCGATAAAAAAGATAAGAATACGAACAGTAAGTGTGCAATTCTTTCTCCGTCATTCGCAGTATCG